CCCCAAAACCCCAAAACCCCAAAACCCCTATTTGCTAAAATAGATTTGAATTCAATGTTATAGTGAATTAAATGTAAGAATATATTAATTTTTTATAAAAATATTTTATGATAAAGTTTAATGGCTTAAAATTAATGCTATCTTAAGCCCCAAATCAGTCATTGATGAGAGTACTTATTTAGCAAAGACCTCTTTGGAGACAGCTATTTTTCAATAGTTACTAATCTAGCTAATTTTTTTCTATTCTCAACAAAAATAATAGTGGATAAATGAATTAAAACTATAGAATCAACTAGAATAGATAAACATAAAATAGATATGATTTGGACAATAAGTCATCAATTGTAGATGTAATGCATTCAATCTCTTAGAAAATCATCTAAAGTGTGATTAAGAGCAGAAATGATAAAAGCAAAATAAAAGAATTTCAAGAATAATTGATAAATGTTATCGATAAACTAAATGACTAGAAACACAATGAGAGTGCGACTGAAGGAAGTATGATAAAAGCATCACCAGCTTAATTAATGAAAATAGTTGACACTACAGCAAATTTGATCTTTATACTTAAAAAAATCAGACAGCTATCCAGGGATGACTCATTGAATTAGTAGAAATTTAAAGATGCAGAGAATTTATTATAAGAAACGATTAGCTAGAAATTAGAAATGATGACATTTATGGATCTAACATAGCTTCTTCAATAGTGCATAAAACTCTCATCGTAGATTCAAGAAACCTTGGATTAAAAGGTTTTTAAAGAAATAAAAGGGAAATTCCTGTAAAATTCAATAAGTATGACACTAGCAAGTAATTAAAAATTTGCGCATAGTCTTACATACTTCGTGTATCTCAGTATCAAAGCAGGCTTCTATGACATCGATCTATCGACATTTTTCTTGGAGTAGCTGAAGAATTTAGAAAACTTAAATTAACTAGAAATGGAAAGTTTAGTCATGGTGATTTCAAGTTTATCAACACTTCAAAGTCTTCCAAACAAAAATAAAGACAGAACTTTTTTGAATCAAATAGCTTAAGAATAGCAAAAAAGAGTGATGATACAAGGATTCTATAATAAGAATAATGAAATTAAAGAGTATTTATAAAAAGAAGTATCGCTTGGGGAGAGAATTGTGAAACTGACTCTTATGACTAAAGCGGTAACACACAACAAAGAATTCGATGCAACTATTTTTGAACCATATGGCAAAGATTTACTCAAAAACATTATCTAGATAGGAAAAGAGCAATTAAATTCTTTTCTTGAAGAACCAGATTCAAGCAATCTTAATCTCATTACCAGTGCAAATTTTTTATAAGTTCTATGCTTCAATATCCACCCAACTTAAATAAATGATTAATACAGCTAGAGTCTAACAAAGCTAGACTAGCATGATGATTCCTCTATCTATAATCTAATACTCGAAACACTAATAATTTTATTGCAAGGCGAGTTCTCTAAGAACTAGAGAAATTAGTTAATGATAACACTATACAGTCTAAAAGCATATGCTTAATTTGAATAAGCTAGACTCTAGATGATTGCTTAGGATAATTAAATCATGGTTACTACAGTTGTTATAGAAAACGAATTACTCAAATAATGCTACATCTCTTTTATCCTTTAAGTCATGAATAATGTAGAGAAAATCATTAGCGAATCTGAAACTGACTTCATTAGGATAATGTTTGAGTTATGCTAGAAAAAGATACTCCCAGCTTACTTCATCAAAGATCCTAAAATCTAAGAATATATAAATTAACTTGATTTAAAGAAATTGAGCTTAAGAAATAGACAAGATTTCTTTTGCCTAGGTCATATTTTATCAAATTCTTTGATCTTTACAAATTTTGATCACAGTATAGTAGAAAAATATAAATAACAACTAAGTGAGACAGTAAAATCTTTAAGACCAGATTAAGGTTTGATGTAAGAAATAAATTCTTAGAAACTCATGGCAGAAATTCATGCTTCAACAGATAAAGAAAAAGTTGAAAAACAAGAATTGTTTCATGCACTTAAGATTTTAGGAAAGTTTGATAGAAAAGAAGATTTTTAAGCTTAAAAAGAGAAAGATTAAACGGTTAGAAATAAATTTGACAATTATAATACCCACAAAAACAGCTAAATTAAGTATTAAACTGATGGTATGTCAAAGTAGAATGTCTAATTTAGAGAACAAAATAGCCAATAATAATTTGATTATAATAAGCAATCTACAATTTAATCAAATGAGCCTAAGATTTCATCGCTATTTAAAAAAAGCAAAGGAAATTAATCTTAGTATAATAAAAGTAAAAATAGATCCTAAAATAATAACAATACTGAATTTGATTGAAAAGATAAAAGTGATCTTAATTAAATAATTGATAAAAATAATGGAAATTATTATTAAACTGATGATAATAATTGATACTCTGATAAATCTCCTTCAATTATTATACTTTAGTCAATGGGGTTTTGGGGTTTTGGGGTTTTGGGGTTTTGGGG